GCAGCCAGACTGGTGACTGGGAGCGGCCGAGATCACGTAACACCGGTCCTGAAAGACCTACATTGGCTCCCAGTCTGTTTCCGAGCACAATTCATAGTGTTGGTGCTGACCTTGAAAGCCCTAAATGGCCTTGGCCCAGTATACCTGAAGGAGCATCTCCAACCCCAGCCCGGACACTGAGGTCCAGCTTTGAGGGTCTTCTGGCAGTTCCCTCACAGCAAGAAGTGAGGTTACCAGGGAACCAGGCAAAGGGCCTTCTCAGTAGTGGCACCCGCCCTGTGGAACGCCCTCCCATCAGATGTCAAAGAGATAAACAACGATCTGACTTTTAGAAGACATCTGAAGGCAGCCCTGTTTAGGGAAGCTTTTAATATTTGTTGAATTTTTGTATTTTAATATATTTTGCTGGATGCCGCCCAGAGTGGCTGGGGAAACCCAGCCAGATGGGCAGGGTATAAATATATTATTATTATTATTATTATTATTATTATTATTTTAATTAATTAATTAATTCCCATAGTCATCTGGTTGGCCACCTTGCACACATTAAATAAAGCTGCTCTTATGTTCTCATTTTCAGCACTCAAACCACAATATTACGCTGGCTGCCTTCTTGAAAGTCGTTGCATTCAGGCGGCTGGTGTAGGGAGCGTTAGCCTTACCTGAAAAGTACTTCTTCAGTTGAGATGTGAGCTCTGCCAGGACTCAATGGCAGGATTGCTAAATTGCTTCAAAGGAATTTAGGGGAGAGAACATCCTACAGGCATGAGATTACCATGGATCTTGATTGGGAATTTGGATAGCAGCACTGACAAAATCATAGAATCATAAGAGTTGGAAGGGAGGAAAGTCTTGTGAAGTGCTAGGTTAGAAATACACATGAAAATTACTAGCTGGGCCTAATGACAGGCTGTGTACTACAAGCTGTGCTTTCTGTGCGTGCATTTTACATAGATGTGCACAGTAGCTCACGGGGCTTAGGAACCTGGGAAACTGCTGCCTGTCAGATCGGACTATTTGCCCATTTAGTCCAGGACTGTCTGACAAGCAGATTTCTTGCCCATGACTTGGCTATCTGTTCCCTTTAACTGGAGATGTGAGTGATTGAACCCAGCATCTTTTGCAAGCAAACCATGGAGTCTTCTGCTGAGCTATGGTTTGCTCCTAACCGGAGTCAATAGATATATCCCATCCACCTCACACTGAGGCAGCTCAAACCCTGAGGTGTATCCCGGTATATGTGTATGCACATTAAAAACATTTTTTTAAAAGGCAGCTCCAAAATTCTCCCCTAAAATAAGAGAGGGGTAGGTACCAGAAAATGGAAACTGCGCCTTGTAAATAAGGATACTTGGAGCATATGGAAGGCAAGCAGTCAACTGCTTGGAGCTAGAACATTAGAGTAGTACTGGGAAATCTTAAGAATTTCTTCCGAATCTTGCCTGCAATTGGAAAAACAAAGTGGCCAACTTTGAGCTAGGAATGGCAAATACAATCAGCAAATGTATATGCAGAGAAGTGGTGTAAACATAAATATACTAACATGTGGTGAATTAAAAATAAAACATCTGGAAGAGAAGAGGAAACAGCCCATGCCCTACAGCAGCTTGCATAGATCCTTTGTGTGGGAAGTGATTTTGCTGCACAGTTTGAGTATCTGGTACTCCAAATACTTAAGGCTTGCATGAAAATATTTATCTTATTGGTGTGACATTGCTTTTAACGTGCTTCTCCAGCGTCTTGCGAGCCAGGCAGAGTAATATTGACACAAGCATGTGCAGCCCCACCACTTTAGTCTATTTATATACCCTGTAAGAATAACATGCATCTTTAATAATTCTTTTCTGGAATATTGATGTTTCAGAAACGAAAAACCCTGGCATGAGAATTCCATTGGCACTGGAAATTCTTTGTGAAGTATAGTACTAACCATCACACAGGGAAACCCATGTAAATGCTACAGAGGATCAAACACTGAAATGTATATGAATAATATATTAGCGGATATACAGAACATATAATTAAAATTGAAATAGTGGAGCAAATTTATAAAATATTTAAACGGGACGGTGGAGAACACTGCAGAGATTCACATACGTTGCTTGTCTTCCAGTCAGTCACTATACACGGTTGGCTCGTAACAGAGCTCGGTTTTACAGGGAGAAGATGTTTCTGCCATAAAAGCCGTATCCTTAAATCTTTCAGGCTGACTTTGTAGGCATGAAAAGTGCCGGGTAATCAGAAGTTAAGATTGCAGTTGGTTCCCCGAGCAAAGTTAGATCCTTCGTTACCAAAGGAAAGAAATGGGAGAAGAGGACAGTCGCCCCCGCCCCCACTTCACGTGGAAGTTTGCAAAAAGGGTGGTGTCAATCTCATCTTTTTTTGTGTTTCCAGGTTAGGGCAAGGACAAGAAAGGGCTTTGCACACTCACAAGCGTGTGCTTTTAAATGGATAAAAAGGTAAAGGTAAAGGGACCCCTGACCATTAGGTACAGTAGTGGCTGACTCTGGGGTTGTGGCGCTCATCTCGCTTTACTGGCTAAGGGAGCCGGCGTACAGCTTCTGGGTCATGTGGCCGGCATGACTAAGCCACTTGTGGCGAGCCAGAGCAGTGCATGGAAACGCCGTTTACCTTCCCGCCAGAGCGGTACCTATTTATCTACTTGCACTTTGATGTGCTTTTGAACTGCTAGGTGGGAAGGAGCAGGGACCGAGCAACGGGAGCTCACCCCGTCACGGGGATTCGATCCGCCGACCTTCTGATCAGCAAGCCCAAGAGGCTCAGTGGTTTAACCCACAGAGCCACCCGCATCCCTAAATGGATAGTTCCTGGCATAAGTTATGCCCTGGTTTTGGGTAGCACTGAGCTTCTCCCCTGTCATCTGCTCCCCCCCCCATTAAATCAAGCTGTTTTTATGCTTGTCAGCGTTCCAGAACCTGTCTTTGTTGAAGGAAACATTGGTGGTGGTGATAGCCACAAGTAGCTTGATTTTGGAAGGAGAGTTCAGGAGAAAGCAGCTGGAAAGAAGAGGTTGAGTGTTATTCAGCGAAGTGTTACTCAAAGTAGACTGTTGAAATTAGTGGGCCTAACTCAGTCATGCTCATTACTTTTTCTTGAGTAAAATGCAGCTGAATGCTGCCCATTGAATTCTCCCATCCCCTTGCCCTTGTCCTCTGCAAAGTCCGCCCTTCAGTGCATTTTTCAGCAGAGAAGGATCTTCGTGTTGTATCCAGAAATTTCCTTCTCCTACAGAAGCTTTTCTACTAGGGATAACGGACACAGGTATAGCAAGAGAAGATCAGTAAATATTCCTCTATGCCACAGGAGTGGCAAGGATCCAAATTGCTAAAAACTGGAAAAAAGAAACTGTGCCAACAAAAAAAGAATGGCAAGACAAACTGTTAGAGTATATTGATCTGGCTGGATTAACAGAGGCAATTAGAGATCACACTAGACAAGATTTTCAAAAAACATGGGGGAAATGCAGAGAATACTTCACAAAACAGTGCCCTAAAATACATACCTGGACTCGTTTCAATTAATGTCTGCAGGAGACTTTGTGGATATTTAAGTTATAATTAGAAAAATCTTAATTATTCATAAAGGAAACAGTTGATAAGAAGTAAGTTGATAAGAAGTAAATAGGGAGCCCAGATACAGGATAAAGGAAGTCTTCTATTTGGTTGTTTGTATTGTTGTATGTTATGCTCACTGTATGTTATGTTCACATTCAATGAGGGTGGATTTGTGTATTGGGGGGTGGGGGTTTATGTTATGTTGTAAAAAAAATTCCAATAAAAATTATTTTTTAAAAAATAATAAAAAACCTTCTCCCTGTGCCCTCAGAATCAACCCTTCGTCTTACATGACTGCAGCGTAATGTACAGTTTGTTCATGACTACTACTTGACAGCGGGGGGGGGGGGGGACCTTAACAATGGTAATCTGAAATCCCAATTGGATATCTCAGTTGGTTGGAACCTGGTGCTGATAAAACCAAGGTTGCAGGTTCGATCCCCATATGGGACAGTTGCTTATTCCTTCATTGGCAGGGGCTGGACTATATTATCCTCAGGGTCACTTCCAACTTTGCAACTCTATGATCTACACGAGAACTCGTTTTCTCCTTGAACTGAATGCCGTTTCTCCAGTTAACAGAGCTAGTTTGGTCACGGAGCTACCATTTTGGTGTGTCTGCGTGCATTACTTTGTTTTGCTTTGTTTCATACAACGCGTCCCGCAGCAGTGTTGATTGTGAGATGCCCTTCTTGCTACTTCGTGCCCTCAATATCTTTGCTTTTTTTGGTCTTCTTCCCTCTCCCCCCCCCCCCCACTGCCCATCAAACGCAGGCCAAGAAACGCCAGGCCTTCCTAACAGAGACGTGCGAAAACAACGTGAGAGATCTGGAGTTGCTTTTGGACAGCTTTCCTGTGTCAGGCAAGCGGACAGCAGGTTAGTTGAAGGTAGAAAATGACAGATGCATCTGTCAGCGTTCCAAAGTCGCTACGTTGGGGGAATTCGGCAGATGCCTCTTTCATTCCCTCTTCTCTACATGCTTTGATTTGATGACATGATAAGAGCAGTTCTCTCAGCGGTCGCGTGGCCCCACTAGCTGGGAAGAGGTGACTGGATGCGGCCCCGCTGTTGTCAGCCCCCCTCGCTTGATTTACAAGTGCAGGGTTGTGTGTGATCGGTCAGGAAAGGGCTCGCTTGCTGCGCTCCGAATCCAGCAGAGAGAAAAAGTCCTTTCCACCGAGCCTACAAGGGGAACAGATGTTTTTGATTGAACCGAGCCAAATTCAGAAGCGACCTTCAGCTACTTAAAGGTCATGTCTCCAAAAAAGGTTATGCAGGACGCAGAGTGTACACATGTTCCTCTTTATGGTGTTAACTTTTTGAGAAGCCAGTTGAGAAGCGGGTGAGGACTGCATCCGTGCCAGCGTGGATTCTTCCCCAACCGATGTTCAAAAACAAACCTCCTTCTTTCTGTTGTCTGGCATGTGGTGGCAGCAGTGATCACGCCAAATGGAAGTGCCGAAAAAGCAAAGTGTCTCATATATATATATATATATATATATATATATATATATATGCACACACGCACACACACACACACACACATACATATACATACATATACATGTGTGTGTGTGCATATGTATATGTATACTACTACTACTACTACTACTAGGGATGCGGGTGGCACTGTGGGTTAAACCACAGAGCCTAGGGCTTGCAGATCAGAAGGTTGGTGGTTCGAATCCCCGCGATGCTGATCAGAAGGTTGGCGGTTCGAATCCCCGTGATGCTGTGAGCTCCCGTTGCTCGGTCCCAGCTCCTGCCAACCTAGCAGTTCGAAAGCACGTCAAAGTGCAAGTAGATAAATAGGTACCACTCCGGTGGGAAGGTAAACGGCGTTTCCATGTGCTGCTCTGCTTTTGCCAGAAGCAGCTTAGTCATGCTGGCCACATGACCCGGAAGCTGTACGCTGGCTCCCTCGGCCAGTAAAGCGAGATGAGCGCTGCAACCCCAGAGTCATCCGCGACTGGACCTAATGGTCAGGGGTCCCTTTACTTTTACTACTACTACTAAAAATAATAATTTATTTTTATACCCCGCCCATTTGGCTGGGTTTCCCCAGTCGCTTTGGGCAGCTCCCAACAGAATATTAAAAACACGATAGAACATCAAACATTGAAAACAGGGCTGCCTTCAGATGTCTTCTAAAAGTCAGATAGTTGTTTATCTCCTTGACATCTGATGGGAGGGCATTCTACAGGGTGGGTGCCACCACCGAGAAGGCCCTCTGCCTGGTTCCCTGTAACCTCACTTCTATGGAGGGAGGAAACCAGCAGAAGGCCCTCGGAGCTGGACCCTGGTGTCCGGGCTGGACGATGGGGGTGGAGGCGCTCCTTCAGGTATATTGGAATATTGTGAATCTCCTTGATGTCTGACAGGAGGCGGGTGCCACCACCGAGAAGGCCCTCTGCCTGGTTCCCTGTAACCTCACTTCTCGCAGTGAGGGAACCGCCAGAAGGCTCTTGAACCTGGACCTCAGTGTCTGGGCTGAACAATGGGGGTAGATATAAATATATTATAAAAGGCCACAGTTTTGATGATCTCCTTGTCCCTTTGAAGTTTGTTTTGGAGCCCCTGTAATTATGTTCAGGTATAAAGCATATCTTCCTTCCCCATTGCTCTCTGCTGCGTGTGGACAGAAATGACTTGAATACAGAAACAAAGAGCGGTCAGATTTATGAAGGGCACTATCTGGTGAAGTAGTTCTGTTAGAGAAATGACTTGGCAGCGCAATAGAACTTCCCCTCTCCTCTTCTCGGACACCCCATAAATCTGTTCTGGGGGTTTCCCCAGCCTCCAGAGCAGGTTTGGGGGTAGTGTGGGGGCAGAGGGAGAAGAGAGGGAGGGGAAGTATCATTGTAAAGAATCCTTGCTCTGTTGGAACGACTTCAATCTGCTTCGCTTCATTGCTGACAACCTTTCGGTGTCAGGTAAAGTCTTATGCCCCCTGCCCCAGCTTTCGATGGGCTTAGTACAGGCTTCCTCAAACTCGGCCCTCCAGATGTTTTGAGACTACAACTCCCATCATCCCTGACCACTGGTCCTACTAGCTAGGGATCATGGGAGTTGTAGTCCCAAAACATCTGGAGGGCTGAGTTTGAGGAAGCCTGGCTTAGTTGATGATGTTTCGTTAGTGTGTTTCCAAATCTTCCTGAGTTCTTGGTGTTCTGTATGAATCTGTTAGTGTTTTTCAACATAATTTGTTAATGGTATAATCTATTTAAATTTATGTTTTTAAATGTATGTTTTGGGGAAATGCTTGGGTAGCAAGTGACTAACAAGCAACAACAACAACAACAACAATAATATCAGCCCCAAAGTAAGCATAATTATGAAAGGCACTTACAATTGTAATGACTTCATTCAAGAGCTTATATTTTACAGAAGGCAACAAGCATTCAGAAAAGAATTGCTGTTTTAAGAGTCCATATCAAACTACAGCTCAGGGTTAGGCTACAGATCCCCACAAAATGCTAATAGAATGGAGAAGAAACCCTCCCATATTGAATTATTTATAACATAGAAGTGTGTGTGTGTGTGTGTGTGTGTGTGTGTGTGTGTAAAATAGGAATTTAGGGAATATCCACAGATTTACTGTATCAATCCATTGGCTCACTTTCTTTAATTCTGTAGAATGTGTGCGCATACTTAAATAAATCTATCGATTCACAAACACCCCAATGATGGAAAAAGAAGACCAAAATACTATTTGGGTTGCATGTGATCTTAATCCTACTCAGAGTAGACTCACTGGAATTAATGGGCATGACTAGTTTAAGTCTGTTGATATCTACTCTGAGTATACCATAGCTAGACACAACTCTTTGTCCATAACTATCAATTGGCTGCTATCCCTGAATAATGTGTTTTTCAAGTGTGCTGGGGCGAATGATAAGTTTGATCTGAAGCTTGGTTTTCAAGCCAAAGGGAAATTGTATCGAAGAAACGTTTTGGAGCCATTTCTTTGAGATAAATAGAGGGCAAATGTTTTGTTAATTGGCCACATACTCAAAGACAAAGGAGCCTTAATTCTAGGCACATCCCATTTTAGTACATTGTCTCAGAGTCTTTGGAGACATTATACAAGACATTATACAAGACATTATACAAGACGTCATCATACAAGGTGTGACTGGAAAGTTTGGTGAACGATCACAGAAATCGGACAGCGAGAAATATTTGAACATACAGTTGGCATTGGAAACCCACGAAATGCTCACAGTTGTGTATGGAGAGGAAGCTGTAACTCGAAAGACAGCGTTTGAGTGGTTTAAGTGTTTCCATGAAGGGCGACAAACCATCGAAAATGACCCTCAGTCTGGCAGACCGTCGACGAGCAGAACGGCAGCAAATGTCAACCGAGTTCATGGGTTATTGATGCGGGATTGGCTTTTGTCCATCCGAATGATGGCGGAAGAATTGCATATTCTGCGTGAAATCGTTACTGAGGTTACAGAGTTGTCCCACCCTCCATATTCTCCTGATCTGGCCCCACCGGATTTCTTTCCCCCCCAAACTGAAATCTGCACTGAAAGGACACATATTTTTCCAACATTTCATACGTCCAAGCTGCTGTGACGAGGGAACTGAAAACAGTACGAAAAGAGGACTTCTCCAGAAATTTCCAACAGCTCTACGAATGTTGTCAACGGTGCATTGCATCAGAGGGGGCCTACTTTGAAGGCCTGTAAGGCATGTGTGTTCAAATATTTCTCGCTGTCCGATGTCTGTGACCATTCACTGAACTTTCCGAACTTTAATTAGTGAATGTGTGATAGCAGATATTTCGGGGGGACAGACGGGAGTGACTCAGAGGATCCCAGAAGATCCTGGATCAATGATGACACAACCACAGTCTGTTTGCATCGCAACCTGGATGCTGGGACGTTACTTCCATGTCTGCTGTCTGCTTGTAACGTGGCTGGGACCTTCCTGCAGTTTTCCCTTGAGTTCTAGCTTTCCCAACAAATGAATGTTAATGAAATCACCACGAACTTTTTAGTGCTTCTGGAACAACGTGGTTGCGATGGGGAATCCAGACTAGCCCTAGGGAGTTGTGGAGGCAGAAGGACAAAGTGTTGTGTGGCCAGGGGCCGCAGATTCTGGCTAGCTGCTCCCTTTCTCTTTGGCACACGAGAAGAATGGAAATAAGTTTTTGAACTCAGCGTTTTGGATCCGCTTTGTTAGGCTAGAGGTTTTGGCAAGGGAGACTGGCTGCCTGGAGAAGAGAGCCAAGTCAATACAAATAAATCCTGGGAATAATTATTGATATGAAACATGCCTTTTTGTGTGGGTGCTTTAGTTCTGGAGCTGGAGTTTGCCTGTCCTTTTGTAGCCTCTGGGAAGAGATGGCAGTTGAAAATATCTTTTTTTGCAATGTTTTGGGATTCTTCCCTCCTTTTCCCTTCTGACATTATCCATCGACTCCCATGGAACTAACATTTTTTTCAGTGTCAATGATACAAGCTAAGTTAAGGACAGTGTATCATAGCTGTCAACGTTTCCCTTTTTTAAAGGGAAATTCCCTTATTCCGAATAGGATTCCTCACAAGAAAAGGGAAAAGTTGACAGCTATGCAGTGTATCTGTGTCTTGATGTTGAATAAAATTAGACTTTGCACTGTAGGTTGACATTCTGCCCTGGTTGCTTAAGTTAACCAAACAAGGTTTGTGACACTCTTTCATGATTCATATAAATATTTAGAAAGGTCTTTCTAGAAATAAGAACTCTAAGGAATGATGTGGCTAAATGCATACCCTTAAATATTTCTCTGATAAAAATAGGGATGTTGATGATGATGATGAAGATGATATTTATACCCCACCCATCTGACTGGGTTGCCCCAGCCACTCTGGGCGCCTTCCAACATATAAATAAACATAAAACATTTTTTAAAACCTTCCCTATACAGGGCTACTTTAAGATGCCTTCTAAAGGTTGTCTAGTTATTTATCTCCTTGGCTCAGGGTCACATGACTCCATACCCTTCAGCATTTCTCCGATGTGTCAGGTGTGTATGCAGCAGCCAGGTTCTGTGACCAGTAGGACCTTGCAGGACTGGGGCCTTCCTAAGTTTGTTCTGAATAGGCAAGATGTGGCATCACAGGTGAGGCCGATTGGTAACTCACAGCACCTGGAGGCAAGAGCTGGGAAGGGATATAAGGTCAGCATTTCCTTCGGCTCTTTGCCACAGCAACACGCTTCCTGCCTTGCTGTGTTTGGCTTCTTGCTTTCTGATCCTTGAACCTTGGCTTCTTAAGTCCCTGCTTCTTGATCCTTGGACCCCTGACTTTGTGACTCCTTGCTTCTTGATCCTCGGACCCCTGGCTTTGTGACTCCTTGCTTCCTGACCCTCGGACTCTTGGCTTCTTGACTCCTGGCTTCTGGACCCCCGGTCCTGCTCCCACCCCACCATCTTGCCCTGGTCCTGACGTCCCCTGCCGGGACTTCGATCGCCCATGAACCGGACCATGACATGATGAAAACAGGGAATCCTAAGGAAAAGCAGTACATTCTGGGATCAAATCAGAACCCAGGATGGCTTCTGTAAATCCAGAAGCGTCCCTGGAAAATAGGGACACGTGGAGGGTCTGTGTCACAAAATGGCAG